AGGTGGCCTCTTTCCTCTTGTCCAAGGGGATAAAGTTGGACTGTTACACCGTGGAAGCGTGCCACCCGCTCCCGAGAAGAGATGACAACGACAAACCAGCCATTATTATGCGATTTAGTAACTGGAAACACAAATCTGCTCTCCTAAAACAGGGCAGGTTCCTAAAAGGGTCCGATGTCTTCATTAACGAGCACCTGACCAAGAAAAACGCTGACATTGCGAGGAACCAGAAGAAGATCCAGTCTACGTGGACCACGAACTGTAAGGTCGTGGTCCACGTAGACTGGATCAACATCAAGCTGAACGGAATGCCTGAGGAGGCGAAAGTTCTGGTTGTTTGGTACATCACGGAGCTGGACAAATACGATTGAACTCTTTGAGGAACATTTGGATCACAGGTGATATCACGCACGACTCATTGTCACCATGTCACATGTTACAGGTACTGTTTCTTCATCATCTATGGACACAACACTAACACCTACGACTGTTAGTGCCAATAACCTGGGACTGAAAACATCCAGCTATACGGACTATAAATGTCAGGACATGAAACAGGATGTAGACCCAGATAATAACTTTTTCAATGACATTGTAGATAATTGCTGTTACTATACAATGGATCCAATACAACAGGACAGTTAAAGTGCATAACAAGCTCTCAATCATACATTTCAACAGCAGAAGTTTATATGAAAACTTTAATAGCATCAAAGACTGTCTGAGCCAGTTTAAACAGCCATTTAGTATTATGGCCATCTCTGAAACCTGGATCAACTCTGAGAAGGGGGCTGACTTTGACCGGGAGAGTTTTGAGTTAAATTATATCAACAGAGAAGGGAAGACTGGTGGACGAGTAGCTGTGTATGTGGACAGAAACCCAAAGTATAAAATAGTAGAAAACATGACCACGGTGACTAAACATGTATTTGAGTGCATAACAGTTGAAATATATATGGAAAAATGTTATTGTTAGTTGTATCTACAGAGCTCCTGGTTCTAATGTGGAAATATTTAGAGAATGGTTTGGGCAAACATATACAGTTACATCTCAGAAGGTCTTTTTCATCTGTGGTGACTTAAATACAGATCTACTTAACTCAAACAATCATAAACCTACTGAAGAGTTCATTAATACCATGTACAGTTTGAGCCTTTTTCCCAAAATCACTAGACCCAGTAGGATCACACTTAACAATGCCACATTAATAGATAATATATTTACTAATATCTAAGATAACAATATAATAAGTGGATTAATAATTCAGCATATTAGTGATCATCTACCAGTATTTGTAGTTAGTAACAATGTCTATATGAAAAGTAAGGAGAAAATTAAGCCGCAGTTTAAAAGAGTAAGAACAGAAGAATCAATCAAAACATTCAAAGATGAATCATTGAAACATAATTGGGAGTTGGTACTGCAGGAAGAGGATATTGATAAAGCATATGAAATTTTTCTGAATATCTTTAAATCATTATATGACAAAAACTGTCCATTGAAAATGTTCTCGCATAAAAACAAATACTCAGAAGCTCCATGGATCACGAAGGGATTGCAAAATGCCTATAAAAAAAGAACAAACTATATAAAGATTTCATAAAGCATAAATCATTGGAGGTCGAGTGTCACGGTGTGGTGCACTTCCTTTTTTATTTTGTAGTTTTCTGCCACACGTGTCCCCGGGTAACTTCACTTCCTGCCTGGTCCTGTCATCCCCTGTGATTGTCGGATTGTTTCCATCTGTGTCCAATCACCTGCACCCCCCTAGTGTATTTAGTTGTTTGTCACTTGTGGCGTCATTGTCTATTGTCACGCATGTCCCTGTCTACCGTCTGGATGTCTCTCGTTCCTGCCTGCCTTTTTTCCCCAGGTTCCTGTGTGTGTTTTTGCCCGTTGGCCTTTTACTTTGTTGGAGTTTTGACTATTAAAGTCTCTTTTGTTTAAAGTCTGCGTTTGAGTCCTGCCTTCCTACCCAACCCTGACATAGAGAATAAATATAAAAAATATAAGAATAAATGAACTGCTATTTTCCGAATAGCTAAACAGGATTACTACAGTGAATTACTAGATAGAAATATTATAGGGATTTGGAATGTATTAAATAATATAATCAAGAAAAAATCTGCAAAAAATAGTTTTCCAGTTTTTTACAAATGATGATGATTAAAATTTTGAGATGTGGTTCATAATTTCAAAAAATATTTTGTAAGTGTGGGACCCAAACTGGCAGAAAAAATCCCAGATCCTTCAACATCTGGAGCTCTGAATGAAACATTAATCAACAGAAATACTTATTCAATGTTTCTCACTGCAGTGGGAGAAAGAGAAATTTTGGATATTGTCAGTAAATGTAAAAATAAAAGGTCAACAGACAGTGATGGCATTGACATAACAATAATCAAGAAGGTAATTGAGGAAATTATTCAGCCACTTTGAGGAACTCCTGAACCCAACTATTACGCCCTCTTTGGTAGAGGCGGAGCTGGAGGCGGAGGAGGGATCATCGTCAATTGGCCTGGTGGAGGTCACTGAGGTAGTCAAACAACTCCGCAGTGGCAAAGCCCCGGGGATTGATGAGATCCGTCCAGAGATGCTAAAAGCAATGGGTGTTGGGGGGTTGTCTTGGATGACACGCCTCTTCAACATTGCGTGGAAGTCTAAGGTGCTGGAAAGGAGGGTTCGGCCGATAGTCGAACCAAGAATTGAAGAGGAACAATGCGGTTTTCGTCCTGGTCGTGGAACAACGGACCAGCTCTTCACTCTTTCCAGGATCATAGAGGGGGCTTGGGAGTATGCTCATCCAGTCTACATGTGTTTTGTGGACTTGGAGAAGGCGTATGACCGGGTCCCCCGAGAGATACTGTGGGAGGTGCTGCGGGAGTACGGGGTGAGGGGGTCCTTGCTTGGGGCCATCCAATCCTTGTACGCCCAAAGCGAGAGCTGTGTTCGGGTGCTCGGCAGTAAGTCAAAGGCGTTTCCGGTGGGGGTTGGCCTTCGCCAGGGCTGCGCCTTGTCACCAATCTTGTTTGTGGGTTTCATGGACAGGATATTGAGGCGTAGTCGGGGGGAGGAGGGTCTACAGTTCGGGGGGCTGCGGATCTCATCGCTGCTTTTTGCAGATGATGTGGTCCTGATGGCATCTTCCGTCTGTGACCTCCAACTCTCACTTGGAGCGTTTCGCAGTCGAGTGTGAAGCGGTCGGGATGAGGATTAGCACCTCTAAATCTGAGGCCATGGTTCTCAGCAGGAAACTGATGGATTGCCTACTCCAGGTAGGGAATGTGTCCTTACCCCAAGTGAAGGAGTTCAAGTACCTCGGGGTCTTGTTCACGAGTGAGGGGAAGATGGAGTGTGAGTTTGGCCGGAGAATCGGAGCAGCGATGGCGGTATTGCACTCGCTTTACCGCACCGTTGTGACGAAAAGAGAGCTGAGCCGGAAGGCAAAGCTCTCGATCTACCGGTCAATCTTCGTTCCTACCCTCACCTATGGTCATGAAGGATGGGTCATGATTGAAAGAACTAGGTCCAGGGGTCAGTATTGGGACAAAAATTGTTTCTTCTTGATATTAATAACATCAGTAAAGTTTCTAAAATACTTAAGTTTGTTTTGTTTGCAGATGATACTAATATTTTTGTACAGGTGACAATTTGCAGCAGCTTTCATCTGAAATCAATTTAGAGTTATGTCAACTTAAGATATGGTTTGATATGAATGAATAGTCATTAAACTTTGATAAGACCAAGTTTATGTTGTTTAGTAATTGCAAAAGCAAAACAAATTTGCAAATCCTAATAGATGATGTGTCGGTGGAGAGAGTTAATGACCATAAGATTTGCTGGAAACCGCATATTGAGAGAAGGTTTAGAAACGCACAACATACAAGAATGCATTGGTTAACAGTGTGGGGTTTTTTTATTTAATTTTTTTTATTCATTTTTTCGAACATGTATTAAAGGGAAAAAAATGTCACTACTTTTACACACAAAGAAAATACAAATTATTTTAAAAAAAATAGAACACCAAAGAGCTAAGACACAACAGAAAAAAAACTTTAAAAAAAAGGAGTGGGAAGAAGCATGACACTTATTTGATGTCCCACCCCTTTTCAACTGCCCTTCAGCCTGTACCCACACAGAATACACCTACATACCACGCATACACTTCACAAATATCCAATCACAAAAACAAACATACACCACATACATATCCCTGCAAACATGCATTGCATGTTTGCAATGCATGCATTGTCATTAGACTTAAATAATCCAATCCCATTGGCGTGTGGGAAGGTGCCCTGGATTGATGGTTTGAACCCAGGCTGCTCCAAACCGCACGCCAAATTTGCAGAGCTTTTAAATATGGAAAAGGCCTCAAAAGTGCGATTGAAGTGAAAAATACATTTTCAGTCATCTCAGGCCCTAATAATCTATTCTCACAGAGTCAAACTCAAATATAATTGATTTTTCTTTTTAATTGCATTTATTGCATAATGACAAATTGTTCAACTTTGGAAATGCTTAATACTTAAGAAAACAGAAATAGCACAATCAGGCCTCATCTCACAGGATGTACAAAACACAAAGTAGATATCACATGCGTCTCACAGAAGTGTCATTTACATAGTATTGTGTTGCTATTCATATTCCACAGGAATGAAATAGAGGAAGTCCATTAAGAACTGAATATACTGTACATGTTTACATTGTATAGCCATACTTGAATAGATAACTTACATATTACATTACATTTAGCTGACACTCTTTACAATAAATCATCCCAGGCTAATTAATGACAATAACAACCCTGCACTGCTGTGATGTTGCTGCTCTTTCCTCTTCCTCTTCTCCTTTTACAAATTGTTATTATTATCTCTTTTGGAAGGTTATTCTTTTGTTTCAGTTTTAGTTTATTTAATTTAATTTAAATAATTTAATATTTCTATCTTATTATATTGTATATAATGTGTATCTTTTTATTCTATTTTATTCCCTGTATATGCTGCTGTGATACCAAAATTTCCCTCTTGAGGGTTACCTATCTTATCCAAAGCGACTTACATTACATTTTTAACCCATGGCTTTTTTTTGCCTGGGGAGCCATTAAGGGTTAGGTGTCTAGCTCAAGGAATCTAAACGATTCAACATGCGATGACATTTAGCATGTATTAGAACAACATAAGGAGCTCTGGGAAATTATACCAATAGCTGACAGTTAATGCTTGATACACACGAAATCTCTTCCAACCACAGTCAGGCAGAGTTCAGCCCATTGTAGCATCATGGTTGAGCTAATTCCATTGATCTTGAGCCTTGTAAACATTGCATTTGTCAATGTTGCTGGCAGATGTCCACCTTTTGGACTATTGATCAGTCCAAACAGTATTCTTTTAAGAAAGGCAAAAAAGTAAATAATCAGCTAGCTTTGTCTAGAGTTCAGTCCCCTACATGGTGAGCTTGACAAGTGGCTAGCCATATTCTGAGGTGGGAGGCCCTGTCACCAGTTTACAGTGACCTGACAAGGCCCCCAGGTCAATGTACAAGGAACCCTTCCTCCTCATATGGCCGGAGTCCTCAGAGTACATAGAAGAATCTTCAGAAAAAAAGACATTCATGATTTTCAGTGGCAGTTTTATAGTAATTACAGTAACCAGATTAACTTCAGCATGTAAGTACATACCGTGTGTGGTGTCGTGGAGATGGCTCTGCTGCCGAAGCATGGTGTGGGTGACCTCCTCCAGGGCTGAGTCAAGGCTCCAACAGCGTGGCTGATCCTCCCTGGGCGGATTGATGGCATCGTCCTTCAGCAGCTCGGAGGCCGAGCTCCGCAGAACAGGGTTTATCTCCAAGGCTCGCTCCAGGAAAGAGCGCATGGCCAGGCTGCAGTCCTCTGCTATGTCCTCCAGAGGGGGGGCCTGTTTGTGGATCTATAAGATGAGAGATAAGGAAAAATTGATGTTAGCAAACTGCAGCATTAGAGAAAATAAATAACTAAAAACAGACAAGCAAGCAAGCCACGTACAACTCCTTCAGCATGTGTGTCCCAGTTTCCTTGTCATTGTGATTAGTGGCTTGTAAAACAGGCTTGGTTGTGGTAAAGAGGAACAAGGAGAGGTTGCTGTTTTAATAGTGCATGCACGATACAAGGTAGTTTTTATTTCACAACAAAACACAAAATATCAACCAACCAAAACGGTGGCACTAGAGGAAGAAGTCAAGACCTGACTAGTCAGGAAGTTTCCTCCTCTGGGAACTTTGACAGTGAAGGTCCAACAAATCAGCACATGACACTAGCGTGGCTCCAAGAAATGCATAGTACTTACGATGTAGAGGTAGGATGGGTAGGCAGTACGTGGGTATCTCTGGACCCATGGAGGGCTTCCAGTCTGCATGTGAATGATGGAGGTGCCCAGGCTATAGATGTCTGTCTTGGTGTTATGACCTCGACACAGGACCACCTCTGGACTCATGTACATCTAAATGAAAGAAGGGAAGAATACTGTGAGTTAACAGGGCCTCTAACAGCGGATAGTGGCAGGAAAAAGTTGACCCATATTTATTAGTTTCAGACATAAATTAATGTATCGGTACAGCACAACAAGTAGCGAAGAGTATATTGTTAAAACAAACAAGATAACCTTTAGCCCCACACTGTGGGTGTCAATGTAATGGCAGTGAATTGCGTTGGCCTTTTGCGTGTTAAAAGTAAAACGACCAAAGTTCATCTCTTTGTCTGCTGGAAATTCCAGCCTGCTGTCCCATGTTAATGTGAGCAGCCCAGTGTATTTGCTAGCCGTATCTCTCTTATTATTGGGTGTCTGCCCTGGGACTTTCCGTAAGCCAAGCCATGAGTGGAAACACCAATATAGACAGACACACAAACAGGTCAAAACAATGGAAAGCAAAGCAAATACACGACAGAAGAAAAATAACGTCTCTTTAATTACACGTCTCTTTAATTAATTTGATTAATCCTAAAACGTGTGTTGACTAGATCTATACTGACAACCCCAAGCATTAGCAGACATTATTAACATCAGAGGTCAGTGAGTGCTCTCGCGGCTGTGCAACCACACTTGTCAATCATTGACTTTTAATCATTTTGGAAGACAATCCTTTAAATCCAAAGGAAGCAAAGACTGTCATTACTTAAAAACGGTCCTTTCCAGAGAAAATACTCAAGATCAGAAACAGAAAAACAATTTTCTCATGCATTCATTGTGGGCTTACAGTCACAGCGTAACTCAGATCAGATCTCTGTCCTTTTTTCTCACCTCTGTTCCTCTCAGGTCTCTTGGAATGTATATATCCTCTGTCATTTGGACCGTCAGGCCAAAGTCCACCAACACTGCCTTGTCTGACATCAGGACAATATTGCTAGCTGGAGAAAAAGGAAAGAAAGAATAGTTACAACACTGTCTGTTGTAATTTTGTGTTCATGCTTTGTAGTAGCCTTTGAGATATTAATCAGTGGATCTCTAGAGACACTTCCAGTGTGTTTGCGTTGATTTAACTGGGGTGGAGGGGGGCACAGAGACGTTCCAAGATGAAGCAAAGCTCGGCACAGACAATTTGATGGCCAGACTTTTTTTAAAAGCTTCATTGTGGCGCTTAACAAACCTCACCAAGGTATAATAATGTATTTTGATCACTGGCAAGAAAGACTAAGAACCACGGTGACATTTCTGAGGGCCAGGCAGGCCGTGAGTCATAAGTTATATGTTGCTCTAGACCCAGCATTTAACCCTGACTCAGCACGGGAAGCGGGCTGGAATTCCCAGAAGCCTAACAGCCTTTAGGCCAGGGTGTCAAACTAAGTGGCCACATACTGTCCACTTTGATGTCACGCAGGCCGTAAAAATAGTTTGGTCAATGGTCCAGTCGACATGGGTGGGGGATGGGGGGGGTCGTCCGTATGTTTGCCACCCCTCCTTCAGGCCATGAGACCTGGCAGCAACATTGTGATTTAACCAAGGTAAAACTAAGTCATTAGCTACCAGACAATGTGACCTGGCCGCACATGAAATGTGTTCATCATATGGAGGAGGAGACTCGTGTGAGATATCTGTGGTCTGTGGGTATTTGAACTGATTAACCTCCTCCCAATAAAGACTGAAACATTTCATAAGGACTGGCCCATTTGTGGCTTTACTTTGACGTAAAAAGGTTTAAAACTGACATTGCATAATTTCCTAAACCATGCGTACTAGCTTACTACTACAACTACCATCAACAACACCCTAAAGGTGCAAAGCGTTTTATTTTATTTTTGCTCTCACGTTTGATGTCGTGGTGGATGACGTTGTGTGAGTGTAGGTACTCCAGGCCCCGCAGAACCTGCTTGGTTACCCATATGATCTCAAACTCTCTCATGGGCCCACAGCTATCCAGCTTCTCCAGAACCGAACCGCCCTCCCCAGCCTCCATGAACAGGTGGACGCTCTGGTCCCAGAGCATGGCGCCGTAGAGCTCAGCTATGTTCTCGTGTCGAAACCGGGCCTGGAACTCTACGTCGGCCGCTTTAAAGTGCTCTAAGGGGACCTGGGAAGATGAAGAGGGGATGTAAATAAATGCATCGTCACGAGTATGCTGATGCGCAGGAAATCTATTGAAGGTCAGATACCATGCACATAAATGGTCCAGCAGGCCTTGTCTGTCTACAACACACTGTGTCAACAATTCTGATGATAATACTGGCAGGGGAGGGGACTACTCCTCATTCTTACAATATTTCCCACGTAGGAATGAATAAACATATTGCTCACCCTCTTCATGGGAGAAAAGCAGAATCCCATTGATAGGAAAACAACAGAAAAGAACAGGATATGCTTTATAAAAGTGTTCCTGTTCATTTATAAACATTTTATGGACTTCACTTTGTCACAAACATCCAGAGGAGTCTTAGAAAGCTGTTCGATTTCCATTCTTGCGTTAACAAAAAAAACCTGGTTCTTCTTTTTAGTGCACTGTTCCTCTTTCATTTAAAAGAATCACATCCTGAATGTCATGCTGACATTAACATATTCCCTATGAACAAACTTGTTCTTTGCAGGTGAAATATTTGGCAGCAACGGCAGGACTTTCAAGAAGTCAGCTTAGGCTGGATTCCAGTCGTTGCTCAGCAGGACTCACCAGTTTGCAAGCCATTCTTTTCCTTGTTGCGGTGTCCTGGGCCAAGTGGACTTTCCCAAAAGAGCCCTTTGGCACAAGGCCAGAGCCGTGGTTCTTGTAGGTCAACCTCCAAGGAAACAGGAGCACGTCCATGTTTATCTGGTAGCGGCCTTTTTTCACAGCCATGTCTTTCTGTAAATAAAAGTTAATTTAAGAAACTTTTTAAATGAAAATATGAAAAATGTTCATGCGCACGGTTTTGTTAGGGAGTGAAAAGGAAAAGTAGAACAAACATCATCTCACCTTGTTTAGAAGGACGCCCATCTCCTCAGGCAGGTGCACCAGGGACGCTGCCTGCATGCTTGAGAGCAGGTTGACAAAGGAAAGCAGGTCTGCCACCGCCCCGTAACGAACACCTCCAATTCCATCAACGTAGTCCTTCTGCCGACTCCCTAAGCCCAGCGAATCCACCGCCTCCTCGTTCTCGTCCATCTCCTCCTGGGAGAGATCTTCCGCCTCGAAGGACAAGCCTCGTTCCTCCTCCGTTTGCTCAAGCTGATACAGGGTCTCTGCCGCGTTGATGATGTCTTCTATGTTCATGTGAGCCAACAGCAGTTCTACTCCATTGTCATATTTGTAATCCATCTTGAAGCCTGGCTTGTGCTGCTCGCCCTAAAGTGAAACATAAAGAGTTCAGTTTATGGACATATTTCTTTTTTAGAGTTCATTTGAAGCACTGGAAAACACGGTGACACTTCACTGAAGCACTGCGGCTTTGATTCGGCTGGCTAGACGCAGAGTTGGGAGGGGCATAAAAGACTGTTTTTCAAGCTACTCAGGGGCTTTCACAGAAAACTGGGAAGCCCCTAGGAAGGAGTGGACTGTTTTAAAGCTAAACACCAGCCGCTTTTAACAATAAATAAATATTTGCAATAAAAAAAGCGCCATTGGTCTGTGACTAAACTACGGCATACAAAGCATACACATTTGCAAAATACGTTTTATAGATACAGCCTACCACAGCCACTAAATCTATATTATGTTAAGGTGAATATCCAGAATACATGCCAACACACAAAAGAATAGTACGAGTTTACAACTTCTAAAAATATTTTTTTCAGATTATAAAGTTTATAGATCACGTAAGAAAATATACTGAGGAGGTAAGCACTTGCCGTAATAGTTGAGTTAATAGCTTAACAGGACTGTCGTCTCTCCATCGTGGGTCTCCAGCGTCCAGCACTGACTCACTGGCTGACTTCCGCAGGTCTGACCGTGTTTAGAGGGAAGTAAATAGAGGAAGTGCAGTCGATCGCCGCGTAGGTGGTGAATTCTATAATGTCAAGTGCCAGCGCTTTACTACCTGGTGGTTTCGTTTTCCCTTTCTTGTTTTCTCAGATGAAAAACACATGTATTCGCCCCCACTGCGGCAACAGTGGGGATCACCTTCTACAGAACCGTTGGGTGTTTCCATGTGGGAAAATTGGTTTTGTTTTTGTCAAATCGTGTTTATGGAAATGTCAGTTACAACAAAAGCAATTAGACGTAAACAAATAATACAATATATTTAAGTTACAGATGTAGTAGCTAAACACGGTAACCGTGATGCTATAAAAATTCTACAGCGCTATAGACGGTATATTATTACCAATATATATGTTTCTTAAGACATATTAATGTCAAAAGTCTGATTTGGTATCGCTGTGTTGCCGTAGACAAAACCACGCGCATGCGCCTTACCCGTTCTTTTGGAACAACAATGGCGTCCTCCTTAGCGGTGTGCAGGTTACATATGAAAGGAAGAGGAAGCCTGGTTAAATACCTACGGAAGGTCGATTCATATCTACACAGGACTATTGGAACAAATGTTGTTAGTGCACAAGGTGACGCACTAACGTTAACTTAGTTAATCAAGCTGTTAAACAAAGTTAGCCTACCCGTCGCGCGGGCGTACCAAACTTCGTTTGGCGTTTTATGTGTTTTAAGCAACCATAGCAATGGTCGAAAATGCGTTACTTATTTCAGAAAAAAACGAAAAAGTAAAACTCATTGAAACGCTTCGGCGTCGTATAGTCCATGAAGGTGTCCTAGTTAAGTAACCTATTCACTGTTTGAAGTGATGACTTGCATTATAGATAAGCTATGATGCTGTTATGTGGGTGGTGACTATGCCGAATTGATGCTTTATGACGTGGGCAACTCGTTTTTGTGGTTTTTGCAGTGTATACATTTTCCGCCAAATGCCCCATACTGATCAGAACGGTCTGATTTCGTATGGAGTTTTTGCGTCGGGTTGTGGCTCGACACAAATGGAACTTAATTTAGCGGAGGGTGCAGCAAAGTTTGTCTGACTACAGCATGCTAACTAAAAACTGCCAGTGAATAGGTTTTCCCCAAAGAAAAACTGAAAGTTATATAGCCTTATTGTTAAATGTTCTGCTTCTTTGTTGACAGAAGAAAGGGAGGGATGCAAATCTTTGTATGCTGTTCAGGCGGAGAGACAGGAACAGGCAGAGAGATCTGTCCTCATAAGTTGCCACACCAGAACTAATGAGAAGAAGTTCCTCAAGTATCTATCAATGCATGGAGATATCAATAAATACTTCTTTTATGAAAGCTATGTAAGTAATTAAGCAAGTTCCTCTGATAAACCAGCCTTATTTTCCAATCTCCAGATGACAGACTTCACTGGGGTGCTAGGATCCAATTGAATGTAGTGTGTCTACTGTTATATTCCAGGGTATGTATGCTGTGGTGGAATTTGCCAACCGAGAAAGTCTGGCCTCGTTATTTGAGGAGGCTGCCATCCCCATCGTCAGCCATGAGTCCATGGTGCCTTTTAAATCGAGACTACTGTCGCTAAGGAACCTTGGCTCAGCGGACCCTCCTAACCAGCAATCAGGCCAAAGGTGCCAATCACAAACGACCATCCCCATCAACGAGCTCATACAGAGACTGTCTAAAGAGGGAAGTGTGAGTATTTCATTCTCAGATTTACAGTTTGAATTAAGAGACTCCTGCTGGATTCAATTTTATAAACAATCATATGTGTGAATCCATTTTAATTGATCTCATACAGTTAATATATATGCCGCCCTCAAGTAATGTGTTAATGGCGGCTGGTCTCCTGTTCTACCCTCAGATAGACCAACAGATGACCTCTCTAACAGATGTCTATCAGCTAACGGAGGAGAACAGCCGTCTGCGTTTCCTCGTCTGCTCTTTGCTCAAGGACATCGCTGCTGCTTATTTCCCAGAATGCACCATCAAGCCGTTTGGCTCATCAGTGAACGGTTTTGGAAAGCTAGGATGTGACCTGGACATGTTTCTGGACTTGGATGGCATCAGTGGGAGAAATGCAAAGATGGTTTGTCCTTTATACTAAATTAAGTTCAACTGTGAAAACCAGGGCTACCACCTGACATGAAAAGATTTCCTTAGTTTTGCCACACAGAACGTTTCAGTTTATATGACAAAATATTTCCAAATACAATATTGTTACTCAACTGCACACCACACAACCTTTGTAACAAATCATTTTTTAACTTAATTAAGGCTCCCCTTTCCACTTACAACAACTAAGCCTTTCCAAAAAAAAGCTACCAGCTGCTTGGCCACCATTATTTGCTTAACAAGAAGACTAAAATAAGACTAATCCACCAACCAAACAATTCTACAGCCACATGCTGCTGCTTTGCATCAAATCAGGTCTATATTCTAAATGGTTTAAACTTTTAAAGAAATAATTTGCAAGTTTATCAATTAATAATTGTGGATATAAGAAATGGTTTCATACACATTATAATGCAGTTGTACGTGGCTCCGAGTCTTTATTAAAGAAAAAGACTATATAGTAAAACCCTGTGGAACTGTGTTCAAACATGATCCTAGTTATTGATTGATTAATATCTTAATATAAAAATGATTCTAAGTATATGTTTCTATGCTGTTTTTTAAGGCTAAATGAGACTAATGGAGAAATTTTGTTTTTGTGTAATCGTCACACTTATGTAAGAAAAGGCATTCACTTTATGAATATTACATTACATGTCATTTAGCTGACGCTTTTATCCAAAGCGACTTACAGCGAATATGAGCAAAACGTTAGTCATATGGATGGTACTTCTTCATTCCATCACGGGATCTTCAGAACCCACAATACGGTGCATAAATAGTTAGTCTTATTTGTGAAAACCTAAATAACATGGTAAATATTGTGATATTCACTCTCTCCAAACTCTGTGTGCAGCCGAAATCCGGCTTTTTGCTGGAGTACCAGATGAAGCAGACCAACTCTGAGCGCGCTGTCACCCAGAGTATCCTGTCTGTCATCGGGGACTGCGTGGACCAGTTTGGACCTGGTTGCGTCGGGGTGCAGAAGATTCTCAACGCACGATGCCCCTTGGTCCGTTTCGCCCACCAGCCCTCTGGTTTTCAGTGTGACCTCACGGCCAACAACAGGTGCTTACCCTGTGCACACGTTATGTTATTTTCCATACATGTGAGAAATATATATTTCCTGGTCATGAACCGGATCTTGCAGTGGTTAAAAAAAAAAAGAGAGAAAAGTGTCAGTTTCACAAAAAGGGAAATATTAATGAGGGTTTGTCATAGGCCTCTTTCTGCACTGAAACTGCTCCTTCTGTCGTTGTGAATATTGTTTTAGCCAGACTGGGGTTGCAAAAGCCCCAAACAGAAACCTGACTGACTGAGGAAGTATATCTCTTGCTACAGTGAAACTGAACAGGAGGTCCAAAAGACCGGCTTTTGTTTGTGTTTCACTTCCCTCCAAAACATTTAAGACACTGCGCAGTCCAAGCCGATAGTGACACATAAACACGCACACACCTGCCAACGTACAGAAAACCACTCTGCAGTTTCTAAGGAAATGGTGGTGGAACCGCCAGTTGTTGGTGGATGTGAGGGGGACTTCTGTCAAACTGCTCTGAGATCTTGCTTGTAGCAAACCACTTTCCTTTCTCTCTGCCTGCCTGTCTGTCTCAAAGATAACTTACACAGGGGTATTCAACTAAAATGTAGAGACGCCTAGTTAGAGAAAATTTTTAGAAGCAAGATTATTAATGACTAATAACTATAGGCACTACTATATAGATATAGGGATAGAGTTGTTTCAACATCTGCCTGTAATCCATACATGACTGAGAAATCAAACTAGAAAATATATTTCCTGCAGAAAATGTGTTGGAATGCTGACAGATTACAGCTGAAATAAAAATTGCTGAAAATGCAGAAGCAGAAATTATTATTTTTTTAATTGTTGAAAATCGACACTATACTATATATAGTCATAGTAGTATGTGTACTAAAATTTGTGGTAGTTGTAGTATTAATAACGGCATAAATGCTAGTACTTTGTTATAGTTGTGTGACCCAGTGATATTCTACACACAAGAGCCAGCCAGCATTTCAACAATGAATTTGGTACAATTCCAGAACTCAATATTTAGTGTCATGTAACAAAAAACTGAAGATACATGTATGACCACAAATATAAATAGTGTTCCTTCAATAACTAAATAAATGTAAAGCTGCATTTCAAAATGAGAGAAAAATAAATGTGAAAATTCAATGCAGAAAAATGAAATAAAGGTGGAAAAAGCTTTCCCCTTTTTTATTTCACATTGGGGCCAGACCGTCTCAGCCAATTATAAATAATAAACAGATTTTAACAACTTTTTTTTAGAATATAGTTTTCCCACTGTTTGCTCAGTGGGAGAATCTATCGCTAGCGTGTCCAGGATTTTAAACTTTAGCGGGGATGCATTCTCTTCCTCACTGCTCATTGTGTCTCGTAATGCCGTTTTATGTTGGCACTTTAAGTGTTACGGTTTCTAAACATATGATACACGCTGATTTAGTGCTCCAGTGGGAAGTATGAACAGAAACGAGTCTGTTCAATCTGGAATAAATGCTCTACTTTTGCTGTCCATTTTTCTCACCCGTCGCTTTTCCCGTCTCACTCGTCTTTTTCTCAAATTTTGTAAACTTTTTTTTTTCTCTTCCTACTGTGTTTTTTTATGTAATTTTTCACTATCTCTCAAATCTGTCCACTGCTGAGACAGTATTATCCTGCCTGGAATGAAAATACCCAATTGGTGTAGTCGCATTGCGTGGGTTGGCTTACCTCAAATACAATTTGTCTGTACTTCAAAACACAAGCTATTCAACTTGGATTATTCAACAGTCAGTTTTCAGTCAGGTTTTAAATCTCAGCCGTCTGTTTTAGCTTTAGGTCCTGGTCCGAATGGGACGTCTCCTGGGTCCAGATTCGAACAGCCGCCTGCCAGTTAGTGACCTGACTGTGACTGTGACAAGCTTCTCTCAGGGGGGGCTTTTTTAGGAATTTAATTTCACTTCTTGTTTACGTTCGTTTAGTAAGAACTTTGTTAGGAGACAGGGGGTGAAGGAGGGAAAAGAGGGCGATAGAGGTCAGTGGGACACAAGGAATACGAGATGGGTTTGAGAAAGTGGAGCGTATGCCAGCTATTTCTTTGGTAAAATAGTTGAATAGTCTCCCGGAAGGGGCGAGAGGGGAAGAGGACTGGTTGATTTCGAGGAGGTTGGAGAAGATAGAAAAGAGTTTTTAGGGGTTAAAAGATGAGGACTCAATTCTAGATTGGTAGAAAGAGCTTTTGGCAGCATAGATTGAAGCAGGAGAAGAGATTGAAAAGCGTGCAGGTAGTTTATATTTACACCATTTCCTTTCC